AGAGTGAAACTCTATCTCAAAAAAAAAAAAAAAAAAAAAAACAGAAGAAGAAAAGAAAAGATGGGAGTAAAATAGAAAAAATTAGCCAGGTATCTCAGCTACTGGGGAAGCTAAGGCAGGAAGATAATCACTTGAACCCAGGAGTTGGAGGTTACAGTGAGTTCTGATGACACCACTGTACTCTAGCTCAGGCCACAGAGTAAGACCCTGTCTCAAATACAAAACAAAACAAAAGACAAAATCTCAGGCTTTCAGGCTCACCCCAGAGCTGCATTTTAACAAGATCCCCAGGAAATCCCAATACTCTGCAAGTGTGAGTGACCTGCCCTGCCACTGAGCAGACTGGAGAGTGCCCGCAGCTCAGGGACAGGAGGGAGTGTGGGCTCCCACAGTCTGTTTCACCAGGATTCTGGGGGCACAGGCGGGCAGCAGCGATGAGCCAGCTGGCTGTGCTGTCTGCAATGCCTTCTCTGTCCTCGGGTCCAGGGGACCAGGCTGAGAGAGATGGCTGGGAAAGCAAGACACCTTCAGCCCCACCTCTGCCTTGTGTTTTGCAGATTAATTTCGTCCTTTTCTTAAACATTCTAAGAATCCTGATGAGAAAACTTAGAACCCAAGAAACAAGAGGAAATGAAGTGAACCATTATAAGTAAGTGGAGGGTGAAGACCTTCTCGGTCAGTAAGCATTTACAGAACGCCTACTGTTTACGCTGCTGGTGGTAGCTATTATTGGAGATGGCTGTAAAAGAAAAGTCATGGACCTGGTCTCAAGAAGTTTACAGTGTAAATGGGGACAGGTAGCGGGAACGGGCCTGTTGTAAAGCCTGAGATACTGTGTGAGGATGGAGGAATTAAGAAATTATGGGTAGAGATCTTATGCTTGGGGCAAGGCTAGTTAATCTGAGGATAGGCTTTAGGAACCCAAATTCAGATGAATTTGTGTAGGTTCTATATGTGTATTTTTCAGGAGAGAATGACCTTAGCTTTCTAAGATGTATGATCCAAATATACTTAAAATCTTTAAGATGTTAAAGGGAGATGTGTTTGTGTGCCAGGGCTACCATAACAAAATACCACAGTCTGGGTACCTTAAACCACAGACAGTATTCCTCCCAGTTCTGGAGGCAGTAAGACCAAGACCTAGGTGTGGACAGGGTTGGTTTCTGCTGAGACCTCTCTCCTTGGCCTTGCAGATGGCAGCCTTCTTACTGTGTCCTCACGCGGTCTTTCCTCTGTGTATGGCCATCTCTGGTGTCTGTGTGTCCAAATTTTCTCTTCTTATAAGGACAAAGGATGATTAGAGTAGGAGGTACCCTAAAGGCCTCATTTTAACTTAGCCACCTCTTTAGAGACCTTACTTCCTAACTTACATTCTGAGATACTGGCTCAGTGAGTAGGGTGCCAGCCCCATATACTGAAGCTTAAGCCTACAACACATGAATGGGGGGTTGGGACACAGTTCAGCCTATAACAAATATTAAAGACAAAGTCGTATCTAACAGAGCTTTTCCTTGGGTATTTTGAATTTGAGAGTAGCAGCAGTCCAGAATCCTTGGTGTCAGGATTTCCTTCCACATCTCTCCAGACACAGGCTCCAAAGTTGGATGGAACTTGGGGTCCAGGAAATAGTTATCAAATGAAATACAGCATGCCCAGTGACCTTTAAATTTTGGGTAAACAACAAGTAGTTTTTTAGTACTTATACCCATCCCCAAAGGTTTTCATTGTTCATGTGAAATTCAAATTTAGCTAGGCATTTTATACTTTTATTTGCTAAATTTGGCAACCCTAATCTGGGAAACAAAATACAAGACCTTCTAAGTATTTATTATCTAACCAATGGGAAAGCTGGCTTTGCTTATATGATATTAGGCAGTAGTAAGGTACATAATTTGTAAATAAATAAGTGGGTAGGGTGGCACATATGGCTCAGTGAATTGGGTGCCGACCCCATATACCAAAGTTGGTGGGTTTAAACCCGGCCCCAGCCAAACTGCAACAAAAAATAGCCAGGTGTTGTGGCAGGCACCTGTAGTCCCAGTTACTCGGGGAGCTGAGGCAAGAGAATCCCTTAAGCCCAAGAATTAGAGGTTGCTGTGAGCTGTGATGCCATGGCACTCAACAGAGGGTGACATAGTGAGACTCTGACTCAAAATACATAAGTAAATAAATAAATAAGTGAGTATTGATTTTTTTTTTTAACTGATAGAAGTATGTGATCAGAAAGTTCTGGGATTGGCCATGAGTTGATAAGTGTTGCATCTGGGTGATGGGTATGTGGGAGTTAGAAACTTTTCAAAATAAAAAGTGAAAATAAAAATGTTTAGGGACATGGCTGCCAAGGCTCAGCAATTAGGCAGGGAAGTGGCAAAGTCGTGTGGAGACTGGGGGGGTTGGAGGGTGGCTGAGAGGAGGCTGCAGCACATCTCTCTGTCCCCAGGCGGCTGGCAAAGTCCACCCTCTTGCTGATCCCCCTCTTTGGCATCCACTACATCGTTTTCGCCTTCTCCCCAGCGGACGCCATGGAGATCCAGCTATTTTTTGAATTGGCCCTTGGTTCATTCCAGGTAAACTTAGAGGCTGGGAATGCCAGCTAAAACTCTGTCCTTGGAGAGAAATGGAGGCCACTAATACACCATGGTCTTCCTGAAGTCCAGCAGACTTTCCATTTGGCAGAGATCCAGAGAAAGCAAGTGTAGGCCCTGCCCATGCTGTGTGACCCCAAGTGGGAGCCATGGCTCCACCAGTCAGATGGAGGTGGGAGATAAAACTGAGAGACCACGAGTGGACATGGTAATCTTAGCACTCTGAGAGGCCCAGGCATTTGAGGTTTGAGGTTGAGGTTGCAGTGGGCTATGATAATGCCACTGCACTCCAGCCAGGGTGACAGAACAGAGACCTTGTTTAAAACAACAACAACAAAACACACACACTACTGAGAGACTTGGGGCTGACTCCAGGAAGAACAAAAAGGAAAAGTATCCCCAGTACACTGTATTATACAGATCTCAAAAGCATATCCATAGTCAAAATAATGTCAGTGATGATGGAGTCATCAGATGACCAAGCAGGAAGATGAGCCATGTGGGAAGGGGTTTAAACCCTCCATCTTCATACTGGGAAGTCTGTAGAAAATGTCCCAAACTGAGAAATCCACAAGCAGCAATATCAGCAGCATATTATTTAGAATCAGTTAGGAGAATTTCAAGTAATAATTGCCCCAAAAAACAGAAAATGGGGGCAGGGGTGTCAGGAACCTACTGAGTTTTTTACCAAGAATCACTTGACTCTTTAAAAACATATGCATAAACAAGTTATTAATAATAATTATTGGCTCAGTGCCTGTAGCACAGTGGTTATGGTGCCAGTCACATACACCGAGGGTGGCGGGTTCGAACTTGGCCCGGGCCAGCTAAACAACAATGACAACTGCAACAAAAAAATAGCCAGGCATTGTGACTGGCGCCTGTAGTCCAGCTATGTGGGAGGCTGAAGCAAGAGAATCGCTTAAGCCCAAGAATTGGAGGTTGCTGTGAGCTGTAATGTTACTGCACTCTACCAAGGGCAACATAGTGAGGTTCTGTCTCAAAAAATAAATAAATAAATATTATTATTAATAAGTTATTAAAATTATTTATTAATGACAAGTTATTAAAAAAAATGGCATGGCACCTGTAGCTCAAGTGGCTATGGCACTAGCCACATATACCAGAGCTGGCGGGTTCAAATCCAGCCCAGGCCTGCCAAAGAACAATGACAACTACAATCAAAAAATAACTGGGTGTTGTGGTGGGGTCTGTGTCCCATCCACTTGGGAGGCTGAGGCAGGAGAATCACTTGAGGCCAGGAGTTGGAGGTTGCTGTGAGCTGTGATGCCATGGCACTCTACCCAGGGTGACAGCTTGAGGCTCTGTCTCAAAAAATAAATAAATAAAAATAAAAATAAAAAAATAAATATATATATATAACTTAAAAAAAAGAAAAGTGGAAAAATCATTTACCTATGAATTCAACAAAAGTTGTGAGGTTAAAAAGAAACAAAGTAAATGTTTGTACAGAGGGAGCCTTAACATGAATCCCAGCCGTTACAATGTCATTTGTTTATTTGCTCATAGCTATTTCCTCCCCAAAGCAATGTTATGTCCTTTTCAGGAAAAACATATGGAAGACAAAAAATAAGTAGATGAAGGATCAGGAAAAAGAACATAAAGATGGGCTCAGCACCTGTGGCTTAAGTGGCTAAGGCACCAGCCACATACACCTGGGCTAGAGGGTTTGAATCCAGCCCGGGACTGCAAAACAATAACAGTTACAACCAAAAAATAGCTGGGTGTTGTGGCAGGTGCCTGTCGTCCCAGCTACTTGGGAGGCAGAGGCAGGAGAATCGCTTGAGCCCAGAAGTTGGAGGTTGCTGTGAGCTGTGATGCCACAGAACTCTACCCAGAGCTACAGCTTGAGGCTCTGTCTCAAAAAAAAAAAAAAAAAAAAAAGAACATAAAGATGGTGGAGGCCAGGCATAGTGGCTCATGCTTGTAATCCTAGCACTTTGGGAGGCTAAGACCGGCAGATGGCTTGAGGTCAGGAATTCAAGACCAGCCTGAACAATAGCAAGACCCTGTCACTACAAATTTTGTTTTTAAATTGCCAGGTTTGCTGGTGCTTGCGCATAGTCCCAGCTACTCAGGAGGCTTTGGAAGGAGGATTACTTGAGCCCAGGAGTTAGAGGCTGCAGTGAGCTATGATGACACCTCTGCACTAGGCAACAGAGCAAGACTCTGTCTCAAAAAAAAAAAAAAAAAGATGATTGAGTTCATGTACAGAAACAAATTTGACAAAGTCCTTAAAGGTAGGAAAGGTGGGTCATAAGTTTGGTTTGGAGTTTCCCAGTAGCCAAAGCAAAGACAGGAACAATCTGTTTCAAGATTTATGGTATCCATAAGATGAAGACCAACTGATGGCCAGGAGAAGTTCTGTGATTATAGGCTCTAGGCAGTGGTTCTCAACCTTCCTAATGCTGCGACCCTTTAATACAGTTCCTCATGTTGTGGTGACCTCCAACCATAAAATTAATTCTTTGCCTAGCAACATGAGGAACCATATTAAAGGGTTGTGGCATTAGGAAGGTTGAGAACCACTGCCTAGGTCTTGATAGAAACTCCTCCCCATGGGTTTTCCTAAAGGAGTTAGCTTATCCTCAACAATGTTTCTGTAATAGAATAATATTGTCCAGCAGAGGCTTAAATGGGGAGGCCTCGGCCTCAGGGTTGGGGAGGTGACCTAGAGGTCTGTTCAGGGCAGGGTTCTCCTCTTATAGATTCCCAGGAGTACACATCATTGAGACTATATCATTGAACCTACCCACCTACAAATTCTAACCCAGAATGTCCCAGCACCCTTGCCAGCAATCCAAACCTCCAGAGAACCCAGTTTCTCTCAATTCATGATTCTTTCCCTCTCAGCCAGAGAGCTCTCACCACCACTGCTCCTGTAACACCTGGGGAGGCTGGGCTCACAATGGCCCATTTAGCAGGAAGGGGATTTGAAGTCTAGTCAGGTGGAAGCACTTGACCAGGATCTGAAAAGGGCCTATGGTGAGAGCTTAGCGACCCAGGTCTGCCTTCTTGTGGATGGGGACCTCGTATCCCCTACAGTTGGGGCTTGTAGTTAGGACCGTAAACTGCCTCCCAGGGAAAAAAAATCTTTTGTCAAGGGAAAACCAAAGGTGCTTTCTTTTTTTTTTTTTCAAAGGTGCTTTCTTAATGTCTCTATAGAAAAGTTTATGAAGGCTCGGCGCCTATAGCACAGCCAGCTAAGGCGCCAGCCATGTACACCTAAGGTGGCGGGTTCGAATCCCCAGCCCGGACCCGCCAAACAACGATGGCTGCAACCGAAAAATAGCTGGGCGTTGTGGCGGGCGCCCAGCTACTTGGGAGGCTGAGGCAGGAGACTCGCTTGAGCCCAGGAGTTGGAGGTTGCTGTGAGCTGTAATGCCACGGCACTCTACCCAGGGGGACAGCTTGAGGCTCTGTCTCAAAAAAAAAAAAAAAAAAAAGTTTATGAAGAAGTATCTTTAATATTTTATACATGTGTACACATGTATAAATAAAACACATATGTATGTCCATATTCACATATGGACATTTCTTTCACATACAAAAGAGAATAGGATAATGAACCCCCATGGGCCTATCCCTTGCTTCCATAATACCCACTCATGGCCTGTCTTATCTCCATCCCTACTCACATTCCCTGTTATTTTATCTGTAAACATTTTAGTATGTATTTCTAGGGTGGTGCCCCGAGCTCAGGTGGGTAGGGTGCTGGCCATACACCCAGCTGGCAGGTTCAAATCCCGCCCTGGCCAGCTAAACAACAATGACAACTGCAACCAAAAAATAGCCAGGCATTGTGGCGGGCGCCTGTAGTCCCAGCGACTTGGGAGGCTGAGGCAAGAGACTTGCTTAAGCCCAACAGTTTGAGGTTGCTGTGAGCTGTGACGCCATGGCACTCTACCAAGGGCAACAAAGTATCTCAAAAACAACAACAAAAATTTTAGTATGTATTTCTAGAAGACAAGGTTTTTTTTTTTAGACAGAGCCTCAAGCTATCACCCTGGGTAGAGTGCCATGTCGTCACAGTTCACAGGAACCTCAAACTCCTGGGCTTACGAGATTCTCTTGCCTCAGCCTCCCAAGTAGCTGGGACTACAGGCGCCTCCCACAGTGCCCAGCTATTTATTGGTTATAGTTCTCACTGTTGTTTGGCAGGCCTGGGCCAGATTCGAACCTGCCAGCTCTGGTGTATGAGGCTGGCACCTTAGCTGCTTGAGCTACAGGTGCCACCAGGAAGACAGGGTCTTGAAGAACACACACAACTACAATACTTTTATCACTGTCATGCCTTTAGTATGGCTGGCTCTGAAGAATCTTAACGACATTAAGAAATATTCGTGGCCATGTTTGAGGCCAGGAGATCGAAACCAGCACAGGCAGTAGTTAGATCCCCCATCTCTAACAACAAAAAAAATTAGCTGGGCCTGGTGATGTGTGCCTATAGTCCCAGTTACCTGGGAGGCTGGGGCAGGAGGATCCCTTGAGGCCAGGAACTTACAGTGAGCTATGATCCTGCCACGGCACTTTACCTAGGAAACGGTGTCAGATTTTGCCTCTAAAAAAGTCCTTTTTTTCCCAGAGTTGAGCATGGTGGCAACTTCATGCCTCATGTAATCCCAGCTTGGGAGCCTGAGGTCGGCAGATTGATAGAGCCCAAAAGTTTAAGACCAGCTTGGGCAACATAGGGAGACTCAGTCTCTTAGAAATATATATACATTCTTGTTGTCATTTTTTCTTTTTTTTTTTTTTTGAGACAGAGTTGCCCTGGGTAGAGTGCTGTGGCATCATAGCTCAAAACAACTTCAAACTCTTGAGCTCAAGTGATCCCCTTGCCTCAGCCTCCCAAGTAGCTGGGACTACAGGAACCTGCCACAACACCTGGCTAGTTTTTCTATTTTTAGTAGAGATGGGGTTTTACTCTTGGTCAGTCTGGTCTCCAACTCCTGAACTCAAGCAATCTACCACCCGCCTTGGCCTCCCAGAGTGCTAGGATCACAGGAGTGAGCCACCACACTCAGCCCTTGTAATTCTTAATGGTCATAGAATAACTGGAATTTAGTAAACTTGCCGGCTTGTGTGAGGCTGGCCCTGTATACGCTTGGACCACAGCTTCCTTCTTCTTCTGAACAGTGAAGATGCATCCTTGGATCCCAGGACAGGTGAGACTCAGGCAAGCCGCTGGCTCTGAGTCAAGTACACAGAGTTCCGGGCACACCTAAACTCCCCTGTGACTCAGTTCCCTTACCTGCAAAGTGAGGATCCCCCCACTTACCTACAAGGGCTTTGTCAGGATTAAATGAAGTCCCTGGAACCTAGAATCCTTTAGGCCAGCTAGGCCAACCTGTGCTCCATATCCAGGTTTATTTCAAAGCCTGCCTTTAAGTGCTTTTTGTCCCCTCTGACAGTGGCTCCCACATGGTGAGGCTCGTTTGTTGGAACTATCTGGGGATCTTTAAACGCTGCCGATGCTCCCACCTCCAGACATAAGGATTTGGGGAGTACAGCCTGGGCAAGAGCTCCCAGGTCATCCTAATGTGCAGCAAAATTTGGAAGCCACTGCCCTGAGTAAGTTTTCCTGCCCCTTAAATAGTCCTCATTGTTTATAGTAATCATTGATACCCAAAATTCTAAAGCAAATCCTTCTAGTTTCATCACTAACTCTTGTTAAAATGCCAGTTTCCCCAAGCAGTCATACATATTAAACCCACCACAGACTTAATCCACAGGGTTGGCTCATCACCTTTTAGGATCCCTTCCAGTGTGGCAAGTAGTTGCAGGCAGGCCTGGGTGGTACTAGGGAGGAGGGTTTGGGCCACCTAAGGTGAGAGCTATGGCACTCAGGCCTCTGTGTGGGGGAGACTAAGGGCAGTCCTATAAGAGATAAGGGGGGACCCAGGTATGTCCCTGAGAGAGGAGGTGGACAGGGAGGACAGGCTGCAAAGAACCATTTCCCACTGGTCCTATAGGCCTCTTAAGCTTGAATCAGGCATCCCAGACCAGAGTCCCTCCCATGGCTGGGCTCTGTGCCAGGGTCTTGGGGACATCAGGGAAATAGGGAGCTCCAAATACCAGGGAGGAAGGCACAGACTCCACTTGCCAGGGAACATGAAGTCCTGGCCATGGAGATGCATCTACCCATCCATTAAGCAGGGAGGTCAAACCCCACTGCTGGCTGGCCAGGACCTGTGCATAGTTAGTTCTGATCACTTTAGTATTTTGTTTTGTTTTGTTTGAGACTGAGTCTCAAGCTGTCACCCTGGGTACTGGGTAGAGTGCTGTGGTGTCACAGGTCACAGCAACTTCAAACTCCTGGGTTTAACCAATTGTCTTGTGTCAGCTGGGACTACAGGGGCCCGCCACAACACCTGGCTATTTTTTGTTGCAGTTGTCATTGTTTTTTAGTTGGCCTGGTCTGGGTTCAAACCTGCCAGCCTTGGTGTATGTGGCCAGTCCCCTACCCACTAAGCTATGGGAACCGCCAGTATTTCAGTGTGAATTTGTCCATCTTTAAACAGCCTCAGATCACCAGCTTGTCTTGAAAAAAAGGCTACCCTGAGTGGGCCCAGGGTTTCATTTGCAGGGCCAATGGGGTGGGTACACTTTAGGTGCCCATACTCCTGGTTCCTCCTCAGTGGCTCACCTTACTCAGTTGAGCTGCCCATCCCTGCCGGCTGCAGTTAGCAGCCTCTACCTTATTGTTCCTGACATCATGCGTGTTCAGGGCCCTTTGCTAGACAGCTGAAACAGGGATAACGGCTGAAACAGAACCCATCTTTGGCCCAAAGGAGCTCAATCTAAAGGTGGTGCAGACAGGGGTGCTGTGGGCAGGCCACAAGAGGTGGCCTAAGTTTCCTCAAGGAAAGAGATGTTGGGAAGAGAGCTTGGAGCTAGGGGTTAAGGACTCGGGGAGGAGGTTGGCCAGCTGCCCCAGACTGGGCACTGAAGCACCTACACTGACCCTGCTGCCTCTGCTCCCCCGGCAGGGACTGGTGGTAGCTGTCCTTTACTGCTTCCTCAACAGGGAGGTGAGTCATCTTGGGCTGCTGGGATGCCCCGGGGAGCTCCTAGTCACTGGCTGCCAGTTTAGGAGCTACCTGGGAAGGGTGGTGGAAGGGGTGGAAAGAGCAGGGAGTGGCCTGGACCTCAAAGCAAGGAGTCTGGAGTCTGAGCTCAATTACAGTACCATCAGAACCACCTGGAAGGCTTGTTAAAACAACTGCTGGGGGCTGAGCACAGTGGTGGCTTGTGCTTGTAATCCTAGCATTCTGGGAAGCCAAACTGGTGGATTACCAGAGCTCACGAGTTCAAGACCAGCCTGAGTGAGACCGTACCTCTACTAAAAATAGAAAAACTAGATAGGTATGGTGGCAGGTGCCTGTAGTCCCAGCTACTTTGGAGGCTGAGGCAAGAAGCTCACTTGAGCCGAAGAGTCTGAGGTCACTGTAAGCTATGAAGCTGCGGCACTCTACCTAGGGTGACAGACTGAGTCTGACTCAGAAGGGACAAAAAAAAAAAAAAAAATGCTGGGCCCTACTCCTAGCTTCTGATTCAGTAAAAATTGATTCTGTAGTTCTGGGTTGGGGTCTGAGGAAATGTTTTTTTTTTTTTAGACAGAGCCTCCAGCT